TCCACCAGTTCAAAGCGTCACAACTAGAAACCACCATGCCACGTCCACAGCGTCGAATCATCCTCGTTTCCTACTTATTCAAATGAAAAAGGAAAAGCTCCATACCGAAAGTATCTTAACTAAAACTGTTACTTTGTGGAACAAACTCCCTAGAGAATGCTTTCTCGATTATGATTTTAACCTCCTCAAGACTAGAGTGAGACTTTATCTATCCTACATATCCTCATAATATGCGCTTTTTACACCCATTATGTAGGCACTTACAACAATTTAATTCAATAGCCTTCTACCTGACTAGCTGTACATTTCCGAATATGCCTGTCTGCTGAGGGGACCAGCCAGTCCCTGCTGCGCAGACGCTTGCTCAAGCTTATTTGTGTTTGCTCAGCGCTTTAGGGCCAGCTTGTAGTTTATACTGTAACTATGCTGAGAGAACCTTAGTTCATCTAGTGTGATCAAATTTAAAACAAGGTCGGTATGCTGAAAGCCTCAGTCACGATGACTTGTGCCATATACGTTAGAACATTTGCTTTCTGGTCACCGGGTTCGAATTTTATTATAGTCGATTTGTTACAATTAGGACTTCTTGATAATTTCGAACTGAGAAGGCGGTATCAACGTATGGCACCTTTGGAAAATGTCTGTAAACCTTACTACGAGTTGGCTCAAGTTTTGTGATTTAAACTGGGTAGACATAACTGTCGATGGTTCTGTGAACACGAAGTCATGAAGTGCATAAAACTTATCTATAACATGAAAAGTATTAAATTTACAACAAGGCAAATTTTGATGTGTTTTGCATACAGAAGATACGTCGTCATGGCAACGAGAATTTCACACTAAGAATTTCACATTGAGGTACGATTTCTATTGCAGTGGTCTGAAATGAGAATAATCATTACAGTATTGTAATTTGTTATGATGTTAATTTGGGGTTAATAAAGACAAACGCCAAATAACATGTAACAATAAAATGGGGTTTATTCGGTTGGTAAGTTGGTACAGATATAGCCTGAGTAGTCTATAACTAACTCAGCCCAGAACTTCTTCTACACTGTCTCTTGACATGCCACTATTTAACGTCCTTGTTTGTAGACGAGTTCATCTTCAAGAGGGGTGGTAGGTTCCTACACAACATAATTACAATAAGCAAATTATCAGATATGATAATATACAATATATTAAAAAAAAACACTAACGGCTGCAGAGAGAATTGTGCATATCCATAAGAAAGAATTGACTGCTAACGTTCTTAATCTTTTCTTAGACTTTACTTCGTGCATGGGACACGCGTGAAGAAATGGTTCTAAAACATTTAAATAAACAGTAACACATCTCTAAGGAACGTACTGATAAAAAAAAAAGAAGAAAAAACGAGAAGGCGATCCATCACCCTACTCGATAGACATGGAGTTACAAAAAGAATTTTTACCAAATAACAAAATACACTTCTCTTGAACATTTCTAACTATAGCAACAATAAAATTGCATAGAGAATGTAAATAGAGAGAATATAATTATATAATCAAGATGTTAGCATTCCATACAAGCAAAAACGGAAAGGTTGGAAGAAAAACTGAATTATTATTTAAAAAGGCTATAACAGTTAACGGATTTGAAAAATTTGACTTGCTGAAAATAAAAATCTTTTTATAAATAAAACAGTTATATTAATAAGAACCGGTAGAACACGAAACGACTGACTAAATACAAATTGTGCTGACAAAAAGGAATCAATTCATGTTACCATTGAGGGTAATCTCTTCAATGATGAAGAAGAAACTTGAATTAATAGAAATGTAGTTCTACAGAAAGATGCTGAGGATACCATGGGCCAAACATGTGAGCAACGGCGAGATTTGGGAGATAATGGAAACAAAGAGGAAAATTAACATCAGGCAGAGATTGTTGAAATTTGTGGGGCAAGTAATGAGGATGCAGGACTTGGAAAATCAAATACGCGCAGGACTGAAAGAGGGAAAGAGAAACAGAGGAATGCAACGCGTAATATACTTAGAAACAGCTTCTATATGTTGAAATATGTCGCTACCAGTTTGGCTATATATATATATATATATATATATATATATATATATATATATATATATTTTGGATTAAATGTAATAGGCACGTTTCGAATATAGATCTTGGGTATGACGATACCCTACATCCGATAGCAGACCTCTGATCAGGAGGTTTTGAGGAGAGTGAAACCACTTCTTAATTGCTGTTGTTCCCAGGTCCACCCTGAGCCGGGGTGGTAGCACCTGTTAGGATCCCATCTATGGGCAAATAGTTAATCCCAAAACTTGGGTCAAAACACTATGAAAGTATAAAAATACATTTTTATAATAAAAATACCAGCAATATATTTTCATAGTAAAAAAAACAATCCAGAAATCTTCTTTCATGTGCCGTGTCACTTCAGGACTATCATGGCCCGCCACATCTTCCTGTCCCTTGTAGGTCTTAATATGTTTTGTCTTCTTCTTCTTTCTCCCGAACCCTGTTCCGTCATTCATTTGCTCAAGCCCATCAAGTATGTTACGCACTGCTTTTCTCTGTCACTGTTTCCCTTAATCTGTCTTGTAGGTATCCGATTTTCCAAGCCCGCCTTCCTCGTTACGTGCCCCAGAAATTTTAACAGTCTGTACCTGATGTTAAGTTTCCTCTTTGTTTCCATTCTCGTCGTTGTTCATATGTTTGGCTCATGACATTCTCAGTATCTTTTTGTAGAACTGCATTTCTGTTAATTCAAGTCTCTTTTTCATCATTGAGTAGATTGCCTGGCATTCGCTGCCATACAGGAGGATAGATATCACGTAAGAGTTCAGTACTCTTTTCTTTTCTTTTTCTAACAAATTTTTTCTCTCTCTTAATAATCTGCTTAGCTTTTGGGATGCAACTTTGCCAATACGTCTTCGGATCTCAATGTCGCTCTTTCCATCCTCTGTTAGAACACTTCCCAGATATTCAAATTTCTGTACCGGCTTGATTTTAGTATTCCTGACCTCTAATTTGCATTTTGACCTCACCCTTTTGTTGAAAACCATGCATTCTGTCTTCTTGTAGTTTATACTTAGTCCTTTCTTCTCGCTTTCCTTCGCTATATTCTGTCTGCGCTTTTGTGTTTTCCTTTCCGTATCTGCTATCAACACTGCATATCTTATGTTGTTAAGATTGTGACCGCCAATAATAAATCCTGGTAGGACATCTAATTCTCTCAGAATTGTTTCGCTGTGGAATAAATCCAGTGAGAAAGCACATCCTTGTCTTACACCCTTTTCTATTTTTGCATATCTGCTCAACTCATTTTCTTCCCATATGCAGGTGATATAGATCATATATCATAGGTTTGACGAGATCATTAAAGATTTTGTTTTCTACTTGAGTAATGTACAAGAATATGGGACCGACAAGAGAACCCATAGCTATGCCTTCACTCAGTCTGTAGATGTAAATGTACTCGTACTGAGCAAGATAGAAGTCTATCAAAAGCAGCAGTTTCAGCAGTAGTTCCCTGGTGAACACTTTCCATCAATGAGTGTCGTAGCTCCAAGTTGTCGTTAAACGAGTAATTCCGTAAATGAGTGTCGTAAGTCCGAGTGGTCGTTAAATGTTTAAGTCCGTAAATGAGTGTCATAAGTCCGAGTGGTCGTTAACCGTGTAATTCTGTAAATGAGTGCCGTAAGTCCGAGTGGTCGTTAACCGTGTAATTCCGTAAATGAGTGCCGTAAGCCCGAGTGGTCGTTAACTGTGTAATTCCGTAAATGAGTGTCATAAGTCCGAGTGGTCGTTAAACGTATATTTCCGTAAATGATTGTCGTAAGTCCGAGTGGTCGTTAAACGTGTAATTCCGTAAATGAGTGTCGTAAGTCCGAGAGGTAAAGAAGGACAGATGTCACGTAACAGCTCAGTATTCTTTTCTTTGTTACCAAAGAAATCCTCCTGACTCGCAATCCTCTGCCCAGCTTGTGGAATGCGTCCTTGGTCATCTCAATACGTCTATGGACATTTAACCAATTCTACGTTATCCTATATCCTAGTATTTTTATATATTAAATCCTTAGAGTTGTTCTTTGCAATGACCTTTGTGCGTTTTATATTATTTTTTTTATAATGATTTTGTTCGTTTTCTTGTTTCATATCCGTAACGAAGGATATTTGAAACGCTGACGGCATATATTACTAATATCCGAATCATTAGATGAATCACGAGAAAATATTAACAAACTTGAATAGGCAATAATCTTAAGATAGAAGGAAAGATGAACAGAAATAAATCAGCATTAATGTTCAACTGTCAGGTCTTTAAAAAAAAAAAGAAAAAAGACAGAATCGTAAGAAAGCGAAGAGATATAGGAAGACATCTACTTAGGACACAATAAATAGCATTAAAGATAGAACAATGGCGAAGAAATAAAACGGCAAATAATGACTGGCTACAAAGCATTTAATAAAAATATAGAAATGATGAAATGTAGCTTGCTAAAATGTTTAAAAAAAATAAAGTGCACAATGAAGGTTTAACGCCAGTAATGTTGTACGGATGAAAAAAAAACAGAGAAACTAACACGCTCTTCTACACACGCACGAGCGCGTGCATGCACACACACACACACACACACACACACACATATATATATATATATATATAATGCACTGTTTATAAAGGTGAGAATAATCAATACACACACAAACATAGATATATATGTGTGCGTGTGTGTGTATATGTATTCTAATAGCATAGACGGATATATATATATATATATATATATATATATGGAGAAGAGACAAAATGAATAAGCAGCCAAGAGTATAGTTTTCCGCGTGTTTTCATTCACACATATATATATATATATATATATATATATATAGTGAGAGAGAGGAGAGAGTGGAATAGAGAGATAAATAGATAATGTATGCATTTCTTTGTATATACACGGTGTTAATTATGACATATATAATGCTCAGTTTATACGGTTAGAATACACACATACACTCATATATATATATATATGTGTGTGTGTGTATGTGTATGTAGAAAGATAGATAGATAGATAGATAGATAGATAGATAGATATGAACAGACTGACATAGATAGATAGATATCCAGACTGACATAGATAGATAGATGAACAGACTGACATAGATAGATAGATAGATAGATAGTTAGATAGATGGATAGATATGAACAGACTGACATAGATAGATAGATAGATAGATATAGATAGAACAGACTGGCATGAATAGAATAGATAGATAGATAGATAGATAGATAGATAGATAGATAGATAGATAGATAGATTCATCAGACTGAGCATAGATAGATAGATAGATAGATAGATAGATAGATAGATAGATAGATAGATGTGTTTGGTTATGAAGTCTGCCCAATTTCATTCTTTCATATTCCTTATGCTTTTGCAACCCTTTTATTATTGAGTATCCCAAATTTTGATAATAAATTTCATTTAATTTCTTTTTTCTTTCCATTTTTATCCTTTTCGTTATTAAGTTTCCCACATTTTGATAACAGAAGATATACTAAAAAAGGTAAAATGATGTATGAACGCCGATACAAGTTTACCGTGCATGCTTTAGAAATGAAAACATTTTCTATAGATTTTCACCTTAATAAACTGTTTACTCTTTTAATTTCAACTTTAATTAAAGCATTTTTTTTTATTTGAAATTAAAACTTAAAAATATAAAGTTTAAAATCATGGTTGAGCAACTAATGCATTTAGTGTGTTGTTTTGTAAAAGATCCCTTTTGTTTTCATATAAACTTTTTTTTAAGTTTCACCTATGTACTTGTTGTGACAATTATTACAGGTAATGGAATCAATTTTAGAAATTTTAGTTTATTATTTTTTGTTTTTGTATTAATTAAGTACCAGAATTTGAATTGGTGTAGGGTTTATTTTTTTTTCTTACAAAGTTTATGTCCAATGTTCTTGGATTATAAAGGTGACATAGATTACAAAATATGTTTTATTATATATATATATATATATATATATATATATATGGAGAAGAGAAAATGAATAATGAATAAACAGCCAAGAGTATAGTTTTCCGCGTGTTTTTTCCATTCATATATATATATATATATATATATATATATATATATATATATATATATATGAGAGAGAGGGGGAGAGAGATAAATAGATAATGTACGTATTTCTTTGTATATATAAGGTATCTGATATCTAATTTGCTGACAATGGCCCTTCATAATGTCCGTGTTTCAAATGTGAGAGCGAGCTCGTGCATGTACTCTTCGTGGTATTTGTGCCATTTTTATAACCCAAGATACTTGCATTTAAAATATGTCCCGTCATTATGGAACAACATGTATATATCAGCCAGGTCAAAAATGAAATATAAAAATCATGTTTGGTCAGTTGGTCAAATAATGGAAAATGGGTCATGTCGAGAATATTTTATAACATAATCATATATATATATATATATATATATATATATATATATAGATGATCTCGGAAATGAATGTGTTCTATTTTGCGATGTCGGCCCACGTTGTGAGAAGCAAATGGTAATGTCAATAAACCATGACACTTGTTATCTTCGTTAAAGAGCAAAATGGCGTCTGAGATAAATGAGCAAGCGAAGTCGTGTTGTATCAATGGCTTCGCCTTTTCATGAAATCACTGCACACATTGTTATGCTTCAACTTTTGCATATCGTTTACGGAAACCAAACAGAGGATGTGAGCGCTATTAGATGATGGATAACATACTTCACTAGAGGATATAAAGATGGGTATGATTCCATGTTCCTTACTGCACTGCGAAGATAACTTTCAACATGAAGATATAGAAAGCCTCAATCACTTCATCTAATGGTGCTGGGTTAAGAAATAGTCTTTCTTTTATTTTTTACTTTTTTTTGTTATTGTGTGCTTTTTAATCATTTATTCTTTCACTGGAAATAAATACGTAACTTAACATTCGGAGTATTTGGACACGACGAGAGGTGATGTTTAACAACCTTATCTCGCTAGATCAATTACTGAATAGTAATTACTATCCTCGTTGCATGTCCCATAGTTTTGGACTTGTGCCACACCTAATCTACGCTTAAAAGTCACTACAACATTCGGAGCTTATCAACACACACACGCACACACACACACACACACACACACACACACACACACACACACACACACACACATACACATATATATATATATATATATATATATATATATATATATGGGACATTATTCGGATGTTATCCTCATCTTCATTGCCATATTCACAACGTTTCGGCCGTTGTATCCTCCGGCCTTCTCTCACGTGACTGCAATTTCGAATTGAATCCTTTATTTCCTCCACCAGGCTAGATCGTTCTAGTTCCACGTGCCATGCCTCTGTCAGCTAGCAGTACGATGACGTTTTCATTCCTCTGTAGGGTTCTGATTGCCAGCCTCTCCAATTTTGCGATGTTTGATTTGGGCAGCTTAGCTTTCTCCAGTATCTGACACACCTTCCATCTTAGTTCATCCACCTGAGTGTGAGAGAAATTCAAGGCTATTTCCTCGATTCGAGTAATGATGTCTAAGTTTGGTATCCGCCTGATGGTTGTGGCCAATTTGAGACCCTTGTGTAGTACAGACTCCTCAGAGGCACTCAACATCGAACAAAAGTCATAAGTGGCAACCCAGAAATATATGAACAGGAAATGGTCAGCATAAGAAGTACCTTACAACTAATCCGGGTACGTGATAGCAGCTCTAACAAACTAGAATAGAAAGGTAAAAGAGGATAACAACTCTCAGAAAACAGCTTCATTCTGCCTACACGATGTGAAGAAATTATCGGAGAAAATACAAAAGATCTGCGGTCCATATAACATAAGGACAAACTTCAAAAGTGGTTCAACACTTCGCAAACACATCTATCGAGTAAGACCCCCAACAGAAAGAAAGACATGACTAAGGACTGTGTGTACACCATCCCGTGCAGCTGTGGTAAGAAATATAAAGGAGAAAGGTAAGTCTGCAAGTACATCGGTACACAAGGGGGAATAAAAGAATCAGGCATAGCTGGCCACATATGGAGGAAAAAAGTAAATCACCGCCTCCCGTGAAATGAGGTCGAAATAATAGACAGGGAACATCACTGGAAAATACGAAAACTTAAGGAATCAGCACATATGCTAGACCATAAAAATCTCCTGAGCCGACCAAGCGTAGAAATGAATACAATTATGAGATTCAGTAATAAGGAGTGCTAGAGAAAAGCAATGAATAACAACAAAAAATAATATAAGCTCTGGTAAAAAAAAAAATGCAATAATAACAGAAAACTTGCAATGTGAGCACTGGACAAAATGTAGCTGATACATTAGGTTTACAAGTCCCAGAAATTCATACGCAGATGTTCTCAAGTATACTTGGCCCAATGGATAAAAGAGGTGGTTAAATCGATTGACTAAACCCAAAGAATTGTGTGTGAGATAAAGGGTTCGTTTCGAAATTCGAATTAGCTGAAGAAGACCGGAGCGTACAACGGCTGAAACGTTGCGAATATATGGTGAAGATGAGGATAATATTCCGAATAATATAAATAATGTAAGTAATCATAATATCTCATCTCATATATATATATATATATATATATATATATATATATATATATATATATATATATATATATATATATATATGCCAAATTATTATCGAATAACTTTTTTTAATATTTCAAAACCCGTGCTGATAACAAATATGGCGCCTGTTTGTTTATATTGCGCAGATCAGTACGAAAATTTCAGTGATTGCGCAGGTCAGTGTTACCAACATTGTGTGAAAATTGTGTGTGAATTGATTAGACGGTTTTTGAAATATTAGAAAAGAAGTTATCTTGATAATAATTTTGGTATGCAGTACATATATATATATATATATATATATATATATATATATATATATATATATATATATAAATGGTTTCTGATAGATTCTTCTTTGTGATAGGTAGATTCATGAATTCATGTGCAGTACTAGATTGGCGGCAAGGTCTCATCATTTTACAATTGAAATGGCTAGATCTAACTGTAAATTCTACGCTAACAATTTCTTTTATCACAGTTCTTAGGGGAGTTAACTTTGATCTTCAGATATTTCAATGCAATGCCAATCTGATATGCTTTTACACTCAGTAAGCTCCCGCCCTGCATCTTAGTAGCTTTGTTTTCTTCCTTGGAGTGAAATGATAAATAAACACATACATGTATATATATATATATATATATATATATATATATATATATATATATATATATATATATATATATATATATAAGATACAAAATATTGGAAATAACGACCTTCTACAGATAGATAGAGTTAGAAACAGAGAGACAGATAGTAGCAAATAAACTGGGAAGATAAGTATCAATTTATAGTGAGGTTTACACGCCAATGCAGTCTTAAGTATATGATACATGCACAGACCCACACACATATCTCTCGGACTCTCACACTCTTTCTCTCTTAATCTGGCTCTCACGTTCTCTCTCTCCCTATATATATATATATATATATATATATATATGTGTGTGTGTGTGTGTGTGTGTGTGTGTGTGTGTGTGTGTGTGTGTGTGTGTGTGTGTGTGTCTTCGCGCGCGTAGAGGGTTTAAAACTTACGTGGCCGGTCACTTTGCCCACGGACACATTGCCTATAGACAGTTTACCTGCAGTACATAAGCCTACGGACAATGTGCGGCCGGACATCGGACATTATACTTGCGCATACCATGCCTACCGGACCTTATAGCTACAAGGCCTAACGGACGCGACATATAAGACCACCGACTTTATTTTATTTACATATTAACATAAATAGAAAAGAATAAAATGCATACGTACACACACACAAACGAACTTACACACACACACACACTTACGCATATAATATATATATATATATAATCCATGTTAAATTCATGTCTAATCTTCCTTAATTTA